GCCCGGCGCTCGGTCGCCCGCCGGTACGGACTGCAGGGACCCGGGGCCGGAGCGCCGGCGGAATTCCTCGCGCCGACCCGGGCGGGACGCGGTGTTTAACCCTGAGGCGGCGGGGCCGGTTGGGGGGGGTGGGGTGCGGCGGAGGCGTCCGGACTGGGAGGCGCCGAGCCTGGGCTGGGCCTCGGGGCCCCGCCCGGGTTGCGGGGTGACCTCGAGCTAGTCCGGATTTGCTTCTGTGCTGTAGGATTCGGCTTCCTAATCGAAGCCAAGCTGCTCGAGGGTCAGACTCTGTGATAATCATGGCTCGCGTGAATTCGACTGGCACTTACTGCATCCCAGACCCCTGGCGGCCGCAAAGCCAACTAAAACTCAACCATGCTGTGAGCTCTGTGTTGTCACTGTGCCCATCTGAACTGAGACAGAGAAGGGAAGTGACTTGCCCCCGTCACATGACTCCAAGTGGTGGGACTGGGATTTTAACTGAGGCATTTCGGCTTCAGACCTGAACCTGTGGGTGGGTAGCGGTGCTTGGGGGAGGTGCAGGGGGGTGCCCTGAGGCCAAATGGTTGAAGAACCATCGAGGAGATGCCCCTTCTGTCTGGATGCTAGCTGCCAGGTGCAGGTCTGGCCTGCAGGGCCACTGGGGACCGGCCTCCTGGCTAGGAGGCCTTCTCTGCAGGGGCGGGAGGCTAGGCCAGCTGCTGATCCCCTCCCTTGCCTGTCCTTCCATCTGCCACCCTCCACCCTCCCAGGCTCTGGTTGCTATGGAACTTCATTAATCAAGCAGGCCGACCCCTGGGCCTCAGTGCAAGTACTGGGTGGGTTGGGCCTCTGGGAGCTGAGAAGCCCCAGTGTCAGGAAAGAGTAAATATCCCAGGGAGATGCCTTGGTAAAGTGCTCCCTGAGTGAGAGGCTCAAGAACAGTCAGACTGGGGGGCCCAGAGGAGGTGGCTGAATTACTGGGGGAGAAGGGAGTGGAGAACTGGATCTTGGAACTGTGGGCTGCCGGATAGGGTGTGGGGACCAGTTTGACTGGTACAGCCTGTGGATGAAGGTGGAGCACAAGAGTGTGGGCAGGGTTGGCCAGGCTGGAGGGTCTCAGCAGGGGGCTTGGCGCAGTGGGAGGGATGAGGCTGGCTCAGGGCTAGGAAGCTGCCCAACTGCTGCTGGGGGCCTGGGTGGCAGCTGGTCCCTCAGGCATCTCAGCAAGCCTCCCCCACTCCCCTTGGCCTCATGCCCAGTGCTGCCTTCCTTCCGGAATCACTGAGATGCTAATAATAATAACATTAGCAGCCACCATTGTTGTGAGACTGTTTTGTATGTCATGCTCTGTGCCAAACACTTTACCCGTTAACTCTCTGAACCTCCTCAACAATCATCCCCTTTTACAGGTAGGGAAGCTGAGACCTAGAGGTGTTAGCACCTCCCCCATCATTCAACTAGTGAGTGGTGGGACCAACCCAAAATTCCTGAACCTGCTAATAGAGCTTGAAGAGTCCTCCCCTCCTAATGAGTGACAGGGTGTGTCTTCTGGCTTATCTGTCTCAGTGGAGTGTCCCCTGTGGGGACTAGTTAGGGCCTGTATCCTTTTAACTGAAAGACAAGTTCTTAGCAGGCCTTGGGATGTGGGTCCTATTCTGAGAGAGCTGAACTTTTGGCTGAGGATGTTTCGGTCTCAAAGTGACTGTCAGGACATAACGCATCCTAGTTTTAGGGTATGGCTTTGGGAAGGGAGAAGATGGGGATATAGTAGGCAGGAGCATGCTAAGGTTCAGGCGCTAGAGGAGAGTCTAGAGGGTACATTCTGGCTGGCTTGTGAGGGCGTGGCTTCTAGACCGGGCTCCGGGAAGGTGGGACATGTGCGTGATGTGACTCTGCCAACCTGTTAGGGTTCCACTTTGCACAGAGTGCCAGCCTGTGACATCGAAGGTGCTCCTCAGGAAGTGGAGGCCCTAAGAGTACTTGTCACAGGTGACTGAGGGAATTTGCTTGGTGGTGCTCAGTACACGGGGACCACTCAGTACCTATTAGTTCTCCTGTTGCTGGGGCGCAGAGGGGAGCGAAGGTGTATGAGAATGGGAGTGTTGGTCTGTCAGCCTGTGGAGGTTCCTTCAGTAAACACTTATTGGTGGCCAGGTCCCAGGCCAGGCACTCCATACAGAGATTATTTAAACCCATGCCTGCCTCTGAGGCCTCCTTGGCTTCCAGGTAAAGCACAAATGCAGAAGTTTGTCAGACAGTGGTGGGGAAAGGCTGAGATTAAGGCAGTTTGGTGGGAGAAAAGAGACAGTCTCTATTGCAGGACAGTGATGGGTATGCTTCCTGCTTACAGAGATGAAGGAATGTGTGCAAGGTGGGAGGGAGGCAAGCAAGGGCGAACTGGGGAGGGGACCAGCATGGGATACGGCTTGGAGCACAGATTTGTGAAAGTGCATGTCTCAGCAAAAGCTCATGTGGAGAAGCAATGGCAGATGAGGATACTGAGGTAGCGGGGACAGATGGAGGCAGAGATTGCTGAAAGGCCCAAGTGGAAGGTGGTTGTGGTGTGGTGACTGGGAGTTTTGTGCCCCTGGATGAGGTCAGTGGGCAGAACTGGGCGAGATCCTAGCTTGAAACCTTGTGAATGGGGTTAGGAGGCTTCATCTTATGTTGGCTAGGCTCTGTTTGAGATGCCCGAGACTTCAGGACAATTTTGATCATCATCACGTGTTTGAACTAAATCAGGGCATCTCAGCTGGTAATCTTGGCTCTGTCATTTCCTGCCTATGAACCTTGGACCTCTCTGGCCTTAACTTTGTCTATAAAATTTGCCCTTTGCTATGTTGCTAGTCCATGGGATGGGATGAGCTACTATATGCAAAGCATGTGGTTGGCCCCAGCTGCTTCCATGTTCAGTTAGTGAGAAACCACAGAAGGGGGTGACTTGCCCAAGACACCTCCATCCTCAATGTTTTTTGTTTGTTTGTTTGTTTGTTTGTTTGTTTTTTGTTTTTGCATAAAAACTGGGGTGTAGGTCAGAGGTGCAGGGGGTGAAATGATTCACCAGAAACAGTGGCGAGCAGAACAGGTGGATCTTTTGAAACACAGTGCTGAGGGCAACAGCAAGGAGACAGATGTCTGCTGCACCATGAGGGTCACCTCCCTGGCCAGGGATCAAACTTAGGTTGTAGCAGTGATAGCTCTGAGACAACCCCTAGGCCACCAGGTAGGCCCAACTATCCTGGTTGGTTTTGAACAAATTTATTAGTAGATGGTTATTGTGGGTCAACAATTGGAGTGCTTCTTGCTCAGGTTCTTCTGAAGTTACAACCAGCATGCTGGCAATCTGCAAGTTACCAGAGGCATGGCTAGGGTTGGAGGATTTGCTGCTTCTAATCTTACCCATATGGAGGAAGAAAGTGCAGGATATTGGTTGCTGGAGGAGTGATCCAATATAGAGAGCAAGGGGGACGCTCCAGTGCATCTCTGACTTAGTCTCAGGGGTGGCATGCCATCACTTGCACAACGTTCTGTTCATTAGAAGCCAGTTGCCAGGTTTGGGTCATATTTAAGGAGTGGAAAGTTGGGCTCTATCTTTAGAAACAAACTCGTAGTTACACTTTGCAGCTACTACAGGCCCCCGAGGATGTAGCTGTGGGCTGGGACTTGAACTCATGTCTCTTGCTTTTCAGTCAAGTGTTCTCTACAACACGATCTGCCCCCTAGGATCTTCTCTTTCTTCACAAACTTGGTGGTCCTAGTAGAGAAACTGAGGCAGGCGGTGGCCCAGGAGAACCAAGCCCTTGGACAGGTCTCTCATGGCCTCACTCTCCTGGTTAGTGGGCATCCTCCCATTTTTTTGACTCAGGTGAAGCGGAGGCTGGACTTGGAAACTGACCATCAGTACCTGGCCGAGAGCAGTGGGCCAACCCGGGGAAGAGGCCGCCACCCAGGAAAAGGTACCCACAGACCTTGGGCTGGGGCAGGCCTGTGGCTGGGCGTAGGTTGGATGTGTGGATATATAAACTGGTCTGCTAACTATGCACCAGGTCTGGGCTTGAGCCAGGTCGCTGGGGACCCTGAGCGTTTGTTGGAGTAGCTGCCAGGCTTGACTTCTCTAGACTCTAGTGGTGGCGTGTGGGTGGGGTGCATGTGGAGAGTGCCCCAACTAGTAGCATGCTGTGGTTGGCAGACCACAGCTACAAGGCCTCCCTGCCTGTCCTCGCCAGTTGGGAAGGAACCATAGGCCCACCCCGTTGCCATCTACCTACTGAACACTGCCCGCGAGGTGGGCCTGGCTGGGGGGGTGAGGGTGGTGCTGAGGAAGCCTGCCTTGCCTGGCCTCCCCCCAGGTGTGAAATCCCCAGGGGAGAAGTCACGCTATGAGACATCACTGAATCTAACCACCAAACGCTTCCTGGAGCTGCTGAGCCGCTCAGCTGATGGGGTTGTCGACCTGAACTGGGCAGCTGAGGTGCTGAAGGTGCAGAAACGCCGCATCTACGACATTACCAATGTCCTTGAGGGCATCCAGCTCATCACCAAGAAGTCCAAGAACCACATCCAGTGGCTGTAGGTACTAGCCAAGCAGGAAACTGGGCAGACGCTTCTGCCCCTACCAGCCTGGAGCTGACAGTGATACTGTGGTTGCCTGCAGCCACATCTTACAGCAGCGGAAACTGAGGCTTAGAGAGGACAGGTGGCCTCCCTCAGGTGGTAGATGCAGAAACCTACACAAATCTGACATAACCAGCTCAGCACGGCTCGGTATCCACCATCTGGGTCAAGATAGGGACTATTTCCATGCCCCTCTTATATCCAAGTAACTACTTTTCTGGCTTCTGTTGTCATTAATGACATTCTAGCATGGCTATTTTATCCTCGTTAATTCATGTTTTTTTTTCCCTCATCTCCTTCTCTCCTCTGTTTGGTAAATCTTTTTAATTTTTGGTAGATGATCCCTTTCTCTATCTTTCTTTCCCCTGCGTAGCATGTCTTAGAAATAGTCTGTACATCTAATTCCTGCTTGTCTTTTTACAACTGTGTAGTGTTCCATGGCATGTCTGTGCCTTCATGTACTGCAGGCCTCCTGAGGGATATATGGTGTTTACAGACATTCAGACTTTTACCCCCCTACCCCCACTTCAGCTCTTTGCCCTTTCCCAGTTGAGTAGAAAGGGCAAGGGGCCCTCCCTGGTGGTGCAGCAGGTTAAAGCGCAGCACTATGAAGCTGCCCTCGGCCACTGCAGCATGAGTTCAATCCCCGGCCAGGGAGCTGACCCACATGGTGCAGCAGACCTCTCCTGGCTCCCTACTGCTCCCCTCAGCAGTGAGTCTCAGTCTTCCTGTTCTGCTCCCCACTCTGTCTGGTGGATCCTCTTACCACCAACCCCGTAGCTCTGGCCTGCACCTCCATTCTTGTATGCATAAATAAATATTAAAAAAAAAGAAAGGGCAAGGGCTCCCCTGGGCCTCACAGAAAAGAGACAGAAGCAGGCTGGGTGCTGAGGGTCATACCTGGGTAGAGGAGTCGAGCTGCTAATCCTCTCTGCTGCCTCCCTACAGAGGCAACCATGCAGCAGTGGGGATCGGTGGGCAGCTTGAAGAATTAACTCAGGACCTCCAGCAACTGCAGGAGAAGGAACGACAGCTGGACCACCTGATCCACGTCTGCACCACACAGCTACGGCTGCTTTCAGAAGATCCCGACAGCCAGCGATATCCTTGGATTGGCCAGAGGACAGCTGTAGAGGGCAGACCTGGGGGGCAGTGAGGACCCCACAAGTGGGACTAGAGGAGTGGCATTTTGCTTTGGATGCAAATCCTAGCTCAGCACTCGTGTGTGATGCCGGACAAATTACTTAACCTCTGTGGGCCTTGGCTTCATCTGTGAAAGGAGAATAATACTCAGTTCCACAGATTAAAATAAGCTAGTGCCATCAGTAACAAACATTCTTAATTAGTACGGCCATTCATAGTTGTAATTTCAATGCTAGAGATAATTTTTATTTGCATTTTGCACAAATGTTTTTTTAAAATACCCTGTATTGAATATCCTAATTACTTATATAAATTCTGGATGTAATCACTAATTGATAGCAAGATCATAGGTCAAAATTAATTTCTTTTATGTTTAAGTAAACCTACTTATTTAGGATGAAATAAACAATACAAAATTGATTTTCTTCAGCAAAAATAACAGAGTAATCTGTCAGTACTAGTCCTGGAGTTGTGATAAGCAGTGTACATGAATTTAATGTGGGCAGCCATTATTACCTTGGGATTGGAGGGGTAGAATGTTTGAGATTCAGACACCAGTTGTGTGCCAGGTAGGGGAGGGGAAAGGTAGGCATGACTAGGCAGGTATGGACGTGCCTTATGAATTGACTGGGTAGTCCCCAGAGGTCAAAGGTCATATCCTTGACTCTACCAACTCTGGCCTATGTGACCTGCCAGGACCTTCGTAGCATTGCAGATCCTTCAGAGCAGATGGTTATGGTGATCAAGGCCCCTCCTGAGACTCAGCTCCAAGCCACGGACTCCACAGAGGTGAGACTCAGTACTCTAGACCTGACCAGGACAGGCAGGGCTGGGCTGGTGCTCAGCTGAGCCTCAGTTGACCTTACCTGCTGCCTCCACCCAGAACTTTCAGATCTCCCTTAAGAGTGAGCAAGGCCCCATCGACGTTTTCCTGTGCCCTGAGGAGAATGTAGGTGGGATCAGCCCCGGGAAGACTCCATCAAGCCAGGGGACAGCTTCTGGGGAGGAGGACAGGCCAGCTGACCCTGCGACCACAGTGCCACCACCATCATCTCCCTCCTCATCCCCTGCCCCGGATCCCAGCCAGCCGCTACTTAGCCTAGAACAAGGTAGGTAAAGAGAAGGTGGTTGGGGTGGGACAGGGTCTCCCTGGTGTGTGGGCAGGCACGACAGCACCCCTTGTCTTTTGTGCTGGGGCGTCCCCATTCTGTGATGCTTCCCTGTCTCCCAGAGCCTCTGCTGTCACGGATGGGAGGCCTGAGGGCCCCTGGGGATGAGGACCGCCTGTCCCCGCTGGTGGCCGCCGACTCGCTCCTGGAGCACGTGCGGGAAGACTTCTCCAGCCTCCTCCCTGAGGAGTTCATCAGCCTGTCCCCTCCCCACGAGGCTCTTGACTACCACTTCGGCCTTGAGGAGAGCGAGGGCATCAGAGACCTCTTTGACTGTGACTTTGGGGACCTCACTCCCTTGGATTTCTGACAGGGCTTAGGGGGACCAGGGCCTCCTGAGATGTCCCTCTGTCTCTGCAGCCCTGGAGCCCCCGCCCCAGTTGTCTTCCCAGCCTGATTGGAAATGTTTAATTTATACCCCTCTCCCTTATCTGCAGACACTTCTCGCTCTGGGGTCTGGCTACGGCCAGGAGGGGAGGGTTCTGTTGATGGTGTGGGTGTGCATGCGCCCCCACCAGCAGGTATGCTGGGGCGGGGGCGTGTGAGCGTGTGTGTGCATGTGCCGGGAATGAAGGTGAACACAACTCGTGTGCACTGAACACGCCCCAGCGTGTCCACGTGTGTGTGCGTGAGCCCACGTGCGCGTGGTGGGGGCTCTGACTGCACTTTTGGTCTCCTTGCTCCAGGGGCCCCACGAGGCCCAGGCTGGCCACCTGACCCCAGATTCCTGTTCGCTGACCAGGCTAGGGGCGAGGCCTAGGCCTGCTTGTTTGTAGGACAGCGAGAGCACTTCTGTCGTCTTAAAGGTTTTTCTGATTGAAGCTTTAATGGAACATTATTTATTTATCAAGGCCTCTTTGGCAAGCCTGGGGCACCAGCAACTGGTAGGAGGGCTGTGGGGTAGATTTCCCAACTCCTTGTACCCCTGAGTGAGGGCAGTAGCCCACAAAGCTGTTTTCTTGCCCTACTCTGAAGGAACTGATGCCTGAACGGTTTATTTATTGAGAAAGTGAGGGGAGGAAACAGACTAACAGCTAAGGGTGGGTGGAGTGGGTGGGTAGGCCCTCCCCAGGGACCCTAGCTGCCCCCTAGGATGGACACGAGATGAAAGATGAGTGGGGGAGCTTTGCGGATAGTGGGGCGGGAGGTTGTGGGTGGAGGGCCTGCCCGGCGGCCAGGCCACAGGAGCCCTCCTGTGGCACTGACGTACCACCCTCCGCCCACTTCTTGCTGTGCCCCACTTTCCAGTCTGCACTTTGACTTGTCTTCCTAATAGCTCTGTTCTCCCTGCTTTGGTTTTAATAAATATTTTGATGGTGTTTGGGTCAAGTTTTGAGTTGTGAAACTGCCAGCGAATCTGGGGGTGGGAAAAGTCAGGGTTGATGGGGTTGTTCCCCTTTTCTTTGTTCCACTAGTTTAATTTTATTAGAAGCTCACAGCCCCAAGAAAGCCCTATCAACATTCCTATCCTAATTAAACATTTATTCAATAAATAATTTTATTATGTAAAGTCAGATACACCCAGAGTATGAAAAGCAGTCAGTGGGTCCCTGCATAGCCCAAGAGACCCCTCCGATTAGTTTGCTGTTCATACCAGATGTTTCTGGGCAGTGGGAAACACAACAAGTAATTACAACACTTACTCTGTCAGGTACTTTTGGGGTTTAAGACCCCTTCATGGGGCTCTCGGCCTGATGGAGGAGACTCAAGTGAGACAATCAGAACGCCTGGAAGAGAGGTGGTACTTGAACTGAGCTGTAGGGTAAGCAGGAGTGGACGAGGAGAAGAGGAACACCGACCAGAGCAGACGAGGCAAAGGCCGCAGACGACAGGGCCTGCCTCGACTGCACCCACCCTGAGGGCCGGGGTGCTGGGGCTGGGCTGGATTCAGGGGATGAGAACGTGCCGCCAGGGGGACACAGGACTCCCCTTGGGTTTAATGTGTTAAAACTCTTGTCCAGTTGCTGTGGGAAGATGAAGAGGGTGAGAGTGGCGGAGGAGGGGGACTGAGAGGAGGGCAAAAATGGAGGGGAGGTGGGGAGAGTAGCTGGGAGGGGCCACACAGGTCTGTGGGAGACACTCAGGGGACCCAGCCCTAGTTTGAGCCCGTTAGATTCAGTACAGCCTCACAACAATCCTGTCTGTACTGTGACTCGGAGGCCCTCAGAGGTGAAGTCGCTTTGGGACTTACCCACAAGGTGTCACTCTGTTGTGCTGCTTGGGTTTGCTGTGTGGACCCCGTAGTGGGGTGGGGCCAGCCCCCCTTCTCTTCCTGGCCGGGTGATACTTCCAAGCTGTCATCCACTTGGTTGGAAGTGACCCCTTGGGTGGCTACATTGCAGGGGCCCCCTGTCCTGGACGCTCCAGGGGCAAAGCCGCGGAGCTGGGCTGTGTGGGGAGTGCACGTCGCCTGCCTCTCGCCTTACCAAAGGCCCAAAGCCTTGCACTCCTTTCCCGGACGGGAAAACCAAGGCCCTGGAGAGGGGCAGGCTGCGGGCAGAGGTCCGGGCTGGGGCCGGGGGCGGGCCCGGGCGCCCGCAGCGTCTGCTGTTCAAGGGCAAGGCCCTGGCAGGTTGCGGGGGGGGGTGCGGGCTCCTCCCGGGGGCGGGCCCGGGCGCCGGCCAGCAGCAGAACGGCCTTGCTGTCCTCCGGGAGCCCCCGCGCGCGGAAGTGCTCCCTCACCGAGGGCACGAAGATGTGGCGGAACCAGTCCGAGAGGATCTCCTCGTCCACCCAGGCGTTGCCCTGGGCCTTGTAGGCCACCGGCAGGGGCGGGGCGCCTCTGCAGGCCCTGGGGCCGCCGCCCTGGCCCACCACCAGGGGCTTGATCTTGTGCGAGCCCGCGGCGTTGGCGCACGTCAGGACAGTCAGCCTGTCCCTGCCCGGCCTGAGGCCCGGCCCGGCGCAGCCCTCGGGGCCGGGGCCCGGCAGGCAGCGCCAGAAGAGGCCGGTCTCGTCGGCGCTGTACACCTGCTCCGGGCACAGCCCGTGCTCCGCCGCGAGGCTCCGGAAGAAGCCGCAGAACTGCTCGGCTGCCCGGCGGTCGGCCGCCTGCTTCTCGCCGGCCGCGTCCAGCTTCCGGATGCCGTGCCTGGCCTTGAAGCGCCAGAGCCAGCCGCCCGAGAAGACGCAGGGCTCGGTGAGCTGCATCTGCTCGTAGAAGCCCTTGGCCTTCTCCACCAGCATGGGCCCCGACACCGGCACGCCCGCGGCGCGCTGCGCCAGGAACCACTGGTAGAGCGCGCGGTCCAGGCGCCCCAGCTTGGGCGTGTGCAGCGTGCGCCGCTGCGCCAGCGCCGCGCTGCCGTCGGGGCCGGCGAAGAAGCGCAGCAGCCGGGCCTTGTGGGCGCGGATGTCGTAGAGCGTGGACATGCCCACGTTGTACTCCTGCATCAGCGCCTTGCGGCTCTCGCCCCGCTCCAGCCGCGTGCAGATGTCGATCTTCTCGCGCAGCGTCAGCACCACCCGCTTGCGCTTCTCGCCGGGGCCCCGCCCCGCGGCCGCCTGCGAGGCCATGGGGGCGGGGCCTGGGGTCTCCTCACTGCCCCGACCGCCCGCTCTGCCGGCCCCGGCTGCTGCGATGGCCGCTGTCCTTCCTTCGTGGCCCCTCTAGGCCAGCAAGCTCCGCCGCGGCCTCTGACCGGCCGGCGCTGGAGCCCCTGGGGACCGGGCGGGGACGACGCCGGGGCCCCTCCCGGCAGCAGCGGCGGAGTCTCTGGGGGGCTGTGGCCGCCTCGCCCCTCAAGCGCAGGCAGGAAGCAGAGGCTTTGGGTGGACGGGACGTCCTGACGGGGCCCTGGCGTCCCATGCAGGCCGCGGGAACTGGGAAGCAGAAGACAGGGTTAGGAGCCCGTGCCCAGGCCGCCAGCGGCCGCCCTGCTCCACTGAAACGGCCCCGAGGGAACCGGCCCTGCACGCTGCCCGCAGGCGGGCAGAGGGCGTGTGCGGCTCTGCCCAGAGGCCCCGGGCAGGTGGGGGGCAGCAGCGGCGGGGCGCCGAGGGGGCGGGTCCTACCAGACCCCCTTTCCTCTGCAACTGCTCGCTGGGCCTCCCCACTGGCCACCCCGCCGGCACAAATCCCACAGTCCTTCGGCAACAGCCAGGGAGGGGCTGCAGGTACTGCAGGCAGGGGCCCCGGTAACTCCCCAGAAGCAGGCGCCTCCAATCTCACCTGCAGCAGACCTCAAACCTGTCTTCAGAGTTCACAAGACGCCCACAAACTAGGCCCCACACGGCCGGGGATCCTCCGACGGGGTGACAGGCCGGGCAGGGAGCTCCCCAGGCGCTGGCTACGGGGCTCCTCACTGACTTGGGCTCCAACGCGCATGGAGAACCCTGCCTGCGGGGCAGCGACACGCCTCCCCCAGAGCCCCAGGGCCAGGGTGCCCCACTGCGCCCCCCAGGGGCAGGGCAGCTGATGTCCAGCGCAGGGGCAGCAGGGCCCAGGCCCCACAAGGCCCCCGGAGGACTGCAGCACAGGGCCCGGCCCCAGCCCACGGGGGGAGGCCCGGGCCAGCGGCGCTGCCCGTGTGCTGGTCTGCACAAGGGGTGCCCCTGGGGCTCAGTGTGAAGCTGCCAGGAGGGGGGCCCTGGCCTCGCGCTCGCTGGCGGCGGGGGAGGCGGCTCGGCGACCAGGGCATCGGCGAAAACCAGTTCCAGCCGACGCTTCCCGGACGACTCCCGGGCCCTGGGGCGCCCC